GATCAAAACCTAGCCAGGGGGGCGGGGAGATGGCTCAGTGGAATAAGCGCTTCCCTGGCAAGCGCAAGGGCCTTCAATCCTCGGTTGGGGGGTGGGGAGGACCCCCAGCCAGGGCAACTGGACTGACTTAGCAAGAGTCTTAAAAATAAAATCAAGAGAAACAGGTTTGGGGTCCTCCTGTCCTGTGTCCCTGTTACTTTGGAATAGTGCCATGCACCTCTTCCAGGGCTGCTTATCTCCTTCCATAACTTTAGCCATCAGTCGTTCTAGACCCAAACTCTATGGCTCAAACCTTGAGCTAGGTTCCACTAAAACAGAAACATTCAGAAATCCAACCATGGATTAGTGAGTATGTACTACGTTCGAAGAGTAGAAAGTTGTTTTGTTTTGTTTTTTCTCGGAACCGGGGATTACGCTCAGGCCTTTGTACTTGTCAGGCAAGCACTTATTCCACTGAGCCATCTCTCCAGGCCCCATCTGCTGCATTCGAGGTAGCATTTGAAGTGATAGGAATATGTAACACTTTTATTTTTTATTTTTTGTTGTTATTTATTTATTTAGTGTGTGTGTATGTGTGTGTGTGTGTGGCCAGCTCAGCCCACCGTAGTCCCTGTGCTTTGCTTAGCTTAGGTTGTTCTAAGTAGGTGCTTTAGACCACTGAGCCATCTCACTAGCCCACTTTTTTTTTCTTTTCTTTTTTGCGGAACCGGGGATTGAACTCAGACCCTTACACTTGCCAGAGAAGTGCTTATTCCACTGATTTTTTTTTTTTTTTTTTCCTTTTTTGCGGAACCGGGGATTGAACTCAGACCCTTACACTTGCCAGAGAAGTGCTTATTCCACTGAGCCATCTCCCCAGCCCTCACTTTTTTTTTTTTTTTTAAAGACAAAAATTTTTGGGCCGGCCAAATAGCTCAGCAGATTAAAGCGCCTGAAAGCAAGCGCAGGGGCCAGGGGTTCAATCCTTGGGCCTGCCATGCTGGCCCTGCTCCCAGGGCACCCTGAAACAGCAACTGAAACTTGGCATGGTCGCACATGCCTGTAATCCTAGCTCTTGAGAGGCTGTAAACAGGTGAATCACTACAAGTCCGATCTAGTAGTGAGACCCTGAACACCCCTGAAGACCCTTCCCTAAAATATAGGGAGAAAAAAAAAACACAAATTCTTGACCTCCCTGAAGAGACAATATGGGAAGTCAGAAGGTGGTAGGTGCTGTGATAGCAGAAGGGGATGAAAATGGAGTGGTGGGCAGAAGGACAATATGTTTCCTCCCTCATTGCTGGGGATAAAGCCCAAGGCCTCACATATGCTAGGCAAGCATTCTACTACTGACCTACTTCTCTAGTTTGGGTTTGCTGTTTTGGTTATATCTTGTTTTGTTTTTATTTTTGTTCCCCTTTTTTGATAGTCTTAATATGTTGCCTATAGTGGCCTTGAGCTCCTGGTTTTAAGAGATCCTCCTGCCTCAGCCTCCCTAGCAGATGGGACTACAGATGTGTGTCACCATGCCAGCCTGGTTTTTTTCAGTTTAAAGAGGGCCAAATGAGAAAGTATCACTAAAAAATTTAGCAAAGCCTGAAAAAGGCGAGGAATTGAGCAATGATCGCCTCAGGGTGAACGGTGATGTAGGCAGAGAACCTCAAGGTCAAAGGTCTTGTGATAAAATTGTGTTCAGTGAGTAAAAAGGAAACCAGTGCAGCTGGAATGGAGTCAATGAAGGGCAGTGTAGAGAGGGCCCAGGATGCTGGATCACATGCAGCCTTTGAAGACCATTGGGCTATATTCTGAGATGGAAAGTGGTGGAGGGTTTAGACAGAGAAGAGAGGATATTTAAGTGCTGAAATAGTAGCTCTCAATCCTGGCCACCTGTAAAATTATCTGAGCTATTTTAAGACCTACCTCTGGGGGTGGGGAGATGGCTCAGTGGAGAGAGAAAGAGAAGGGGGGGCTTGAGCGAGTTGTTCCCTGGCTCAGTGGAAAAAGCACTTCCTTGGCAAGTGCAAGGGCCTGAGTTCAATCCCTGGTTCCGCAAAAAAAACAAAAACAAACAAACAAACAAAAAAAACCCCAGGGGCCGGGGAGATGGCTCAGTAGAATAAGTGCTTGCCTGGCAAGCACAAGGGTATGAGTTCAATCTCCGGTTCCAAAAAAAAAAAAAAAAACCTACCTCTGCCCGAATACCACTTATTAACAATTAAATTTGATTATTGGGATAAGGTATACAGCAAAGAAACTTTTTGAGAATCCTCTAGGGTTTTTTTTTCCATACTAGGGATCAAACTCAGGAAAGAATCCTCTAGATTTTGATATGCAGCCCAGGCTGAAGACTCCTGTTAGAAGAATCTCCCAGGCTGCTTTGTCAAGAGCAGTGTTATGGCTCATATCTAGATGCCCCCCAAAGCTTCCTGTGCTCATAGGTGGGCATTGGGAGTTGATTAGATGATGGGTCATGATAATCATGCAGAACAAGAGTTGTGGGGTCAGAAAGGCTTCCCCCAAGATTTTAGAAGAAGGCCCAGGAGGCCAGGCAGTGTGCCCCTGAGAGGGCAGTGTGTGAAGCTGTGAGTGTGAAGATGAAGGTGCAGTGGAGACCCCGGAAGGTTGAGAAACCAGGAGCAGTAATTGTCTGAGGAAAGTTGCATGGAGTGAGCAAAGCTAGCTTGAGAGAGGCCCTGAGGGCTGTGATCACTGATAGTGCCATAGGGATGGGGCCATCCAGGCCCTCTGGAGTTAAAATGTTACCATTATTGCTGGACATGGAACTGCAGGATTATTTAATGTTTGCCCTGCTGTGTTTGGTCTTGCTTTGGTCCCATTACTTTTTTCCCTTCTAGAATGGGAATGTTTACCCTATTACTTTGTATGTCAAATAGTATTTAACTGTCTTTTCATTTTTATAGGAGCTCATAACTAAGAGAGTTTGCCTTAAATCTCAGAGGAGACCTTGAACCTGGATTTTGGAGCAATGCTGAAACTGTTAGGACTTTGGCAACTCTTAGAAATGGATTTTTAAAAATGCATTGTACAAGACAAGCTGCAGAAATGGCATCTCACAAGGGGAAGGAAAAGAAAGAACAGGCCATCAGCCTCAGGCCTCAGGTGGCTAAAGGAGAGAACGTATTTGGTGTCTGTCACATCTTTGCATCCTTCAATGATACACTTTCGTCCATGTCACTGATCTCTCTGGCAAGAAACCATTTGTTACGTGACTGGTAGGATGAAGGTGAAGGCTGATTGAGATGAATCCTCCCCATATGCTGCCATGTTGGCTGCCCAGAGGTGCAAGGAGTTGGGCATCACTGCCCTGCATATCAAACTCGGCCACAGGAGGAAACAGGACTAAGATCCCTGGGCCCGGTGCACAGTCAGCCTGCAGAGCACTTGCTCGCTTGGGAATGAAGATCGGAAGATTGAGGATGTCACTCCCTTCCCCTCTGACAACACCCACAGGAAGGGAGGTCACCATTGTCACCATCTGTGAACAAGGCTCAAATTGTTTTCTGTTAATAAATTACCTCGTGTAAAAAAATGCATTATGCATAAAGGGATGCATAAGTCTTTTGAGCATGAGGGGTGAAATTATATATATATATAAATAATCTTCTTTCCCTTCTAGAATGGGAATGTTTACCCTATGACTTTG